GGAGCAAAACAAATCACACACGTCATTTCCCCCACTGGTCGAGGAAGGTGGACAACGGTCACTCCTAACGGTCACTCCTAACGGCCACTCCTAACAGTCACTCCTAACGGTCACTCCTACAGAGAGACCAGAAACCTTCCAATTGATTTTACTTTAATCCATTTGACTTAAGACGCGTTCCTTGACTCCCTCGCCCTTAATTATAAAACAAAAAACAAAAACAATTTCTTCGTACTTATTCCTTCCTATCTGGTAAACAAATCGCTACCTTTAGTCTGATTTATCCTCTGCTGGCCTAAAAAAAAAAAAAAAAAACCTTTAACCCATTTCTCATAAATTGACCAATAAATCATCTTTTGCCATTGTGTTCGACTGACTGACTGACTGACTGACAGGAAAGTTCGTATCGTCTTGTTGGTGGCCTTCCTCACCACTCTATGGGATAATAAAATTTCCCCACGATTTAAACTTGTCAAATACACTTGTCATCACCCCCCAGAACTTATAACATATAAAAAAAAAAGATTGAAATTGACAGCAGGAAGCGGAAAATTCTGACCTTAAATAAAATCAGTGGGAGTAACAAATGGTAGAGCAGCTATATATAGTGAGTGTGTGAGGTATCTGATATCTCCATTACCGTGACATATGGATAATGTTCAGACTTTTCTTTGTAATTCAACTAGATTATTTCTATGTTAGTTTTTTTTTTCTCAATTACCTCACTTATACTTCAATTAGCTCTACAATATTTCACTGAGGAAAAAAAAAACAATTATAGGAGATTACGAGTATGATAATAATAATAAAAAAGAAATCCCTCCACAAAGAAATCCTCCCCAAAAGTAGTCGTTTAATTAGTTTCATATCGTGGAAAACAAAGTCTTAATTGCAATGAATTACTCGGGAATTAAAAATAAAGAAGAGAGAAACTGGCTGGCCTATGCTTAATTATCCCCTCGGCTGGCATAGTATTAACCACGATGGAGATATATGTATTAATTAATTAAGAATCTATTGTTCCCTTGATACGAGAGAGAGAGAGAAAAAAAAAGAGAGAGAGAGAGAGAGAGAGAGAGAGATTGTCATCTGTTCCTGTGCATGTGTCAAGTCAATTAGTTTTTGTCCTTGTATTTTAAGTTAGTGAATTCCAGTCCACTAAAGATACTAATAATTACCAGGAAAAAAAATCGGAAATTTATCTGAAAATAAGTTAAAAAGTACGACACGCCGATTTTTTTTCTTCTTCTTTATCATATTTTTTTTTTACTTTCTTTCATTCGTTCTTTCCCACATCTATCTCTCTCCCAATTTCTCTTTACTGAGATTCCATCCATCCACTTACCATAATTACTATTGCCTCTTCATCCCAACCTCTACACTGCACTACACTACACTACACTACACTACACTACACTGCACTGCACTACACTACACTTCTATAACATGTACATCTCCAGTCATCCTTCCAATGTGTTTGAAAGATAAACCTAAAGATGTTATTTTGGTTTAGTGATGTGGACAGAAATAGACAGATTAAAACAAAAAAACAATTCGATAGTTTGGAGTTCATTTGAATTTAATCAATCAGTGAGGGACATCGAGAAGACAGACAGACAGACAGACAGACAGACAGACAGACAGACAGACAGACCCACACACACACACACAAACCCCTCTGGCAGAAACGAGGCCTCCTTGTATCGATGGTCTGTCTCTATTAACTGAACCATGACTCGATAAGTTCATCCGTACTTAAAGTTTCAGTCATCACACTTTAATAAACATGTTAGTCAGGTTTATTAGTTCTCACCTGATGTAGCGTTAATTATTGAAGACCTTTGGCATGACAACACCCAGAAGTAGGAGTTGTTTACACGGTGGTGGAGGCCCAGGAGGCGTGAGGTGTATTGGGCGGTCCATTTTTTACCCCCACGCGGGAAGTTTAGTTTATACAAGGAGTGAAATTTATAACTTGTCGAGGAGAAGAGAGGAGATGGGAGGGGAGAAGAGGATAGGAGAGGGGTGGGAAGGTGTGGGAAAGGAAGGGGAGGGGAGGGAAAGTGGAGAAGAGGGTAGGGGGAGGAACAAGAGAGATATATTGTAAATTTTTCCGTGAATTTTGGTGATGTCAGCCAAAATATTTTTCATATATGATGTATTTTGAGGATCTTTTGCTTTTAATGTGGATTTTAAACCAAACATGAGTGTGTGTTCTCGTGTCCAAGGTGCCTTACATCACCCCGAACACCAACAGTAAGGGACCTCTGTATTCTCTCTATAAGAATCAAAAGAAATCTTGCTGGGGAAAAAATAAATGAAACTATTGAATTTATCATAAAAAAAAAGTATTGTGGAACTGCAGCTGTATTTTTTATTTATTTTCAGTTTTTAGTCAAAGTTTTTCAGGTGTTGACATTTAACCTCTCTCTCTCATTCATACATACATACATACAAACATACGTACATACATACATACATACATACATACATACATAATCCTGGGAATATAAAGAACTTTTACCTAATAAGAAGTAGATCACTCAAAGGTAAATGTGGAAATAGGAAACCTCAGGAGGGTGTCGTTAGAGGAAGCCCTGTTGGCGAGATGCTTTGAGACACACCCTCCACCCTCTCTACTGAAACATCCCACCCACTCCCTCCCACCAACCATCGTCAGTACCGAAGCATCCCACCCACCCACCTACCTCGCTACTAAAGCACCCCACCCACTCCCACCCCTCATCTACACAACCTAATGCCAAGTCACTATGAAAGGAAATAATTATGTCAGAAACCCATACAAATCACCAAGAGCTTAATTAATAACTTCTAACTTATAATTGAATCTCATTAGTAATATCGAATTACTTTTCCAGAGTGTGTGTGTGTGTTTTAATTACATATCCATAGAAAATGAAATGTAGGGCATCTCCTAGTCTGGCTATAGTGAAAGTGACAGTCGGATATGCACTATAGGTTCTAGTGGAGGTGAGTCATAATCGGTGTGGTAATGATAGCGGGAGTAAAGATAAATATTGTATGCGAATTATTGGGAAGGGAAGGAGACGATTTATCAGAAGGTGTAGAAGTAAACGAGGAAAAAAGTCAGAGAAGTAAAGTTAGGAGAAAAAAATCAGGAAAAAGTAATAGAAAAAAGTCACAAATGAGTAAGAGAAAAAATTAACAGAAAAAAGTCACAGAAAAAAATAAAAAAAGGTCACGGAAGAAAGCAATAGAAAATTCATTGAAAAAAAGGGGAAGGAGGGGGGGGGGGGGTGCAGGTGAGAGGATATTAAGTTTATAACCCACTATTGTCTCTCTCTCTCTGTCTACCTACCCCATTAAAACTGTCCCGTAATGTTGAGTACCTGGACATTTCATACACCTGTCGCCCCAATTATGTATACAGTATAATGCTTCCATACACCCTAGCCGCCGGCCTTCCTACCATACATAGTACCTCACTCCCACACTATCATCCTAGACATAGTTCCTCCTTCCCTCACCATCATCCTAGACATAGTACCTCCCTCCGTCACCATCCTCCCCATGCGCAGTGTCTTCCTCTCTCACCATTCTCGTACGTACAATGCCTCTCTCCTTCCTTTCCTCTCACCTCACTCTTCTTACCACATCAGGGCCAAGGACACACACACACACACACACACACACACACACACACACACACACACACACACACACACACACACACACACACACCCTGTGTCCTCCAAGTCGTGTATTTACCCCGTGAGACGACTCTTGGTAGGATGATGGAACTGCTTATCAGGCTCTGCCCAGGTGACCGGTGCTTCCTCTCACCCTCCCCTCTTCCGCCGCCCCCCCCTCACTCTTCTTCTCGTCCTCCTCCCCCAGGTCAACCCTCCCTCATCCTTCCCATCTTCCCTATCCAACCTCTCCTTTCTCAACAGCCATGTTCCCCCTCTTTTCGCCCCCTTGCCAGCCAATCCTCGACCCACGCCAGACACGCTCTTTACCTCCTCCACCTCCTACTCACACTGAAGTGGGAGTGATTGCTTTGCTCTTTTATCTTACACATCTATCATTTTTACTCGTGTGTGGAGTCGGGGTCAAGGGATACAGACACACATTAAATAAACAACAACAACAATATTTGGAGTAACATGATACCGAGTACAATTGTTGTGTAGTCATTATAGAGAAAGAATAAAGTGTTTTACCAAGTTTTAGGCCCATAGAAAGTAATGGTTAACTCTGCTATGGCCGGTGGAGAGGTGAATATTTATGAATTACGAAAGCAAAAACACCTTTGGAAGCTTACAGGTAGAGCTAAGTCTCTGATCGTACCTCCTGGAATTATAACTCATTTAATCTAGTTTTTGACGTTAAATGGACAGAAAAAGGGCTTAAATTTTTCGTATGACGTCATAGTTTATTTTTTTCTGTATTTCATCCAAGGGAAAGATGTATAATTGGCCATCACATGATGGTTTATTTTCGTTATTTTATTTTTTCCATCCAAGCCTTTTAATGGGTCATATCTGGGATCATATTTGGTGCGATACTGGGGTTGTGTGTGTGTGACTGTGAGCCCTGATATAACTCCTTCAACTTTTTAAATATTATGCTGATATGATATACTGTAGGAATTCCTTCTTCCTTACACCCAGCAAGTTAGCTCAGTCAATTATGGCAGAAGATGATGGCAAAAAATAACAAAGATTTGATGCCTTAAACATATCGACATACAACTCATGAACAAAGTTGTCCTTCACAGTCACCAACACACAACGAAAAATCCTCTTTATTTTCGTACACACCTAACCTAACCTAACCTAAGGCGTCAGTAAAACACACTGCTAAACTGCACACAGATGATTTTACTTAATATATACGAAAGCAGGTATGGTAGCAGACACATCTATACACGCTAGCGACTATAGTCTTTTTAGAACATTGTGCTGTGGACGGCGGGAGGGGAGGCATGCAGTGTGGGAGGTTAGTACTGTACTCACCATGGAAGGCCCAAGCTTGGAGGGGGTCGGTAGACAGCCACCCACACGGCGACAGCTTGAACTGGCAGCTGCCCTCACTGACTGTGAAAGAACACGAGTAGGTTAGCAAATAGGGTGAAATTACAATAACCTGGCGTATTTATATTCATTAAGTTCAATAGATGAGGATATTACAAACTGACTAGCAAGCAGGGAGTTAATATTATTGTGTAAATATATTCACTTGTATGACTCAGTTTGTAATCAAGGGGGAGATATACTTACAGGAGGTGTATTTCAGGAGGAAATACCCGCGATTGCGTTGCTGGTCACTGCTGAAGAACACTGTGGCTGAAGGGGTCGGCCGAAGCTCCAGCAAGCGACCTGACGCGTAAGGTGTGCCAGTCACCTTCAGGTCTTGAACCCCGTCCGAGACCTACGGGAGGAGGATGAGTTAACTTTATGGTGTGACAATATCATGTGTTGCACTACAGAGTGATGCGTGGGGTGAGAGGGGTGATGTGCGAGATGATGTGCAGAGTGAGAGGGGTGATGTGCGAGATGAGAGGGATGATGTGCAGAGTGAGAGGGGTGATGTGTGAGATGAGAGGGATGATGTGCAGAGTGAGAGGGGTGATGTGCGAGATGAGAGGGATGATGTGCAGAGTGAGAGGGGTGATGTGTGAGATGAGAGGGATGATGTGCAGAGTGAGATCGGTGATGCGTGGATATAGTGGATGATGTGCAAGAGGAGAGGGTGGATAAAGGGAGATGAGAGGGTGATGTGCGAGATGAGGAGGGGATGACAGTAGAGGAGGGGGTGGATGTGGGTGAGATGAGAGGATGGATGTGTAGAGGAGAGGGGTGGGAAAAAGGAGATGAGGGATGATGCAGAGGGAGGGTGATGGGGTGTGAGATGAGAGGGGATGATGGGCAGAGGAGAGGGGTGATGTGTGAGATGAGAGGGGATGATGTGCAGAGTGGAGACGGTGATGCGGGAGATGAGAGGGGATGATGTGCAGAGTGAGAGGGGTGATGTAAGGAGATGAGAGGGGACATGCAGAGTGAGAGGGATGATGTGCAGAGTGAGACGGGTGATGCGTGAGATGAGAGGGATGATGTGCAGAGTGAGAGGGGAGGTATGTGGGGTGAGAGGGATGAAACCATTATAAAAAAAGGGTGACAACTTTTGACTGTACATCCTAATTTACGAATATTGAGGAGGAGAGAATCAAATCTGATGTTTAGTTTTAGGTTATTAACTAAGAGAAGGTAAGTTAAGGCAGGGGAGACGAGAGTATGTTGCCGAATGCCTTCAGAAAACGAGAGCAAGGAAAGGGTGGTAAGCTGCCGTCATGGTGTGGAGGAGAGGAATTTAGTGGGGCAGGTATGTGGTGTCTTGTTTATCTGTAGAGGTAACTGAGAGGTTCGTTAGGTATGTTATTAGCATCACTACCATCACAACCATCATTACTACCATCAGAACTACCACCACAAGAACCACTAACTCCTTTCATAAACATCACCCCAACTAATAAAATCATAGCCATCACCACAGTCACTACACAAAGATCACTTTTAGCATCATCACCACAGCCACACGTCTAGGCCTCATAAACATCAGTTACGACCCCCCCCTCCGCTCCACGACCACCTTGAACCCCTCACTACGACCTGAGGACGACCCAGCGTACCAGAAAGTCCCCTGCGACTCGCTTTTAAGTTATAATTGACTCCACCATTCCCGTCCTCACACATTCTCCGCCTCTGGTCATACCACACTGTCTTTTTCAGCTCTAAGGAGACGTGAGACTGGGGACGTGAGACTGGGGACGGGCACGTGAGACTGGGGACGGGCACGTGAGTTTGGGGGGTGGGGACGTGAGACTGAGGGGTGGGAACGTGAGACTGGGGCGGGGAATGTTGGTAGGGGAATGAGGGGAGGGGGGGTAGCAACTCTCTGGACTTTTCTGGCTCGATTCTCAGCCTCTTGAAGGTCATAGGAATCAGGTGCCTGGGTGGTAAATCAAAGGGCTGGGTGGTAAATCAGGGGGATGGGTGATAAATCAAAGGGATGGGTGGTAAATCAGGGAGCTGTGTAGTAAATCAGGGAGCTGGGTGGTAAATCAAAGGGCTGGGTGGTAAATCAAAGGGCTGGGTGGTAAATTTGAATTTCATAGACTTCAAACACTTTAAGTCTCATTAAATCTTTGAGAGCGTCTTATCGCTAAAGAGGCACAACATGCGGTAATTATTATACCCGTGTTGGTAAGTTCTCGGGTAATCTATCATCGAGTTTTCTTGTTTAATACTTTGACGATTATGGTTTAACCCTTTGACGACTATGGTTTAACCCTTTGACGACTATGATTTAACCCTTTGATGACTATGGTTTAACCCTTTGACGACTATGGTTTAACCCCTTGACGACTATGATTTAACCCTTTGATGACTATGGTTTAACCCTTTGACGACTATGGTTTAACCCTTTGACTACTATGGTTTAACCCTTTGACGACTATGGTTTAACCCTTTGACGACTATGGTTTAACCCTTTGACGACTATGACCCAACCCTTCAGTACAGAAAGGGTTAAACATCTGTATAAAAAGTGATAAGCAGCAGGGCAATTTCACGTCCACAGTGCCCCCTAGTTCACCCAGCTGTGAATGTGTACCGAAGGCTCAGAAAATTGTGCGTTTATATCCATACTAACGGGTAGTCTAGCCAATGACGTCTGCATCCACAACATTGTAATTCATTCATATTATTTTCGAATATTTCTTTCCTGCATTAATTGTAAGAAATCCGAAAGAACTATTGGGATAAACACGAATTAACCCAGACAGCCACACAGACAGTCACACAGACAGCCAGCCAGCCACACAGACAGCCATACACAGTATTCATATGCATATGTATAAAAGAACGTAAACATACTCATATATGAACTGTTGCAAGAATTCACAAGTGTATGTAAACAAATATCTAAAAGCACTCAAATAAATAAACAGACAGACAGACACACGCACATGCTACCTCAGTTGATCACACCCCCAACCAGGCGTAACGCTATGTGTATGTGTGTGTGTTTGGCAATGGTGGTAGCGTCAGGGTGTTTACTGCCAACACACACACACGTTAAACTTAGCCAGCAACCATTCACTCAGACGTTATTGTTGACATCCCACTGATTATCACCTGACACGCACCACGGACCACTGACCACTACACACGAACTGTACTTTTCTTTTATTATTATTATTAGAATGATGATGATGATGATGATGATGATGATGATGATGATGTGTGTGTACTTACGTGGTGGAGACATATATGCGTTATACACGACACACCTGTACCAGCTTGTCATTGGTCGGCTTGCTTTGTGGGCGTGGTCACTAAATGCTGACGAAGGTAATTTAGTTAGCTAACAGTCAGTTTGCACTTAACGACTTATATAAGCTTGTTTGCTGTTTCTGAGGAAACATTTGGTTTTGTCAGTGTATTATTCACCAAACAAGATTAGCATTGTGTTAATTCTGTAATAGAACATATATTTTGTTTGTTTGTTTGTTTTGAAACCCAGACGAATTGTATTGCGAGGAATCTCACTCTGATGCTCGACTGAGAGGCTCAAGACAGACGTGTATTTCTATTTTGGGACAAAACTTTTTAACACGTAAATACTTTGAGCTGTAGAGAAGTTCACTGGAGCGTCTTTAGTTTTTACTCACCGATAAAATGTTTGTGTTTATGAAGAATACTTTGTTATTCTATGTGCAAAACGTCATGGCAATCAGTAATATTATTTTACTTTACAATCATATGAGAGGATTTGTTTTAGTTAAATTGATATTATCTGAGGGAGTGAGTCAATTACTGTTTTGATAATACCACCCATTTTCCTCTTCACTTCCCAGTCAACGCAACTTTTATAATCTATTCCTTTTCTACACATCTCCCTTTTCTTTATCTCTATTTCTCTCTCCGTACTTTTCTTTCTTCCTTCCATACTCTTTTCTTCTATCTCTTTCTGTATTACACACACACACACACACACACACACACACACGCATCATGGAAGTAAAATCCTACCGTAAGTGAATCTCGGAACGCCCATAAGGCATTAAGTGAATAACATCGCAGGTATACCTCCTCCCTCCATAACAAGGCGGGTGACAGGCAGGACGAGAGTACATTACCTCCCTTCAAAACAGAATTAATAATTCCTGGAAAAACGAGTTAGAGTGTGTTGTTTTATGGAAGGCGATGTTTTCAAGCAGCCGTCCTTGGTCAAATTGTCTTTCTGGCGTGTTGGCGAGGTCTTGGAGGTGTTTTGGCTAGATTTGGGTAGTGTTTTGGCTAGATTTGGGTAGTGTTTTGGCTAGATTTGGGTAGTGTTTTGGCTAGATTTGGGTAGTGTTTTGGCTAGATTTGGGTAGTGTTTTGGCTATATTTGGGTAGTGTTTTGGCTAGATTTGGGTAGTGTTTTACATACTTGGTAGTGTTTTTATTAGTGATTTGGGTAGTGTTTTAGATACATTACAGTGTTTTGCTAGATTTTGGGGTAGTGTTTTGGGATATACTTCATAGTGTTTTGGCCAGATTTAGTAAGTGTTTGACATACTTGGGGTAGTGTTTTGCCAGATTTGGGTAAAGGTTTGATACTTGGGCAGTGTTTGGCTAGATTTGGGGTAGTGTTTTGGCTAGATTTGGGTAGTGTTTTGGCTATATTTGGGTAGTGTTTTGGCTAGATTTGGGTAGTGTTTTGGCTAGATTTGGGTAGTGTTTTGGCTATATTTGGGTAGTGTTTTGGCTAGATTTGGGTAGTGTTTTGGCTAGATTTGGGTAGTGTTTTGACTAGATCTTGAAGGTATTTTGGCTAGATTTGGGTAGTGTTTTGGCTAGATTTGGGTAGTGTTTTGACTAGATCTTGAAGGTATTTTGGCTAGATTTGGGTAGTGTTTTGGCTAGATTAGGGTAGTGTTTTGACTAGGTCTAATTGGTGATTTAGCGAAGTTTTCTTAATCTATTGGTAATTTTCACTATGTTGTTTAATATTACGTTTTAGCCTTGAACTGTTGTGCAGGATGTGGCTAAGACGATTACACCCAGAATTATACAAATACACACTCATACACAAAGACAGGTGAGGATGAATGCAATGCAGTGCGTGTGTGTGTGTGTGTGTGTGTGTGTGTGTGTGTGTGTGTGTGTGTGTGTGAGAGAGAGACTGTCCATACCCCGTGCTGTTCAGGGAGCTTAATGTTAAGTTGCCTCACAGTTATTAGTACTGACGCTTCTTAGACTCACAATACCACGACGCCCAGTAGGACGATTGGGTCTGAGTGAAAAGGATGGATCGAGCCATTACCTTTAGGACACTCGCTAACCTGGATGGTGGTATTCCTGTCTCTCTCTCTCTCTCTCTCACACACACACAGGTTAAAAAAATTTTTATATATACATGTAAAAACTAAACAGGGTTCTATTTTCGTTTTCTATGTTCCGATTCTTCTCTCTATTTAGCTCGTGTTTCTTTATATGTCTCATTTCGACTAAATCTTTTTCTCCCTTTTACTTTAATTCTTTTTTTTTTGTCTCTCAACCAATTCTCTCGTCTCTCACTCCCTATCCTCTTACCTGATTGTTCTCCAACCTCCTTTATCTCACCCTTAACCTTCTCTCTCTCTCTCTCTCTCTCTCTCTCTCTCTCTCTCTCTCTCTCTCTCCTCAACCTCTCGTTCACCTACCCCTCACTCACCTGAAGAGCATCCCCAGCGTCCAATCTTAGTCTGGCGACCAGCAGGTGAAGGAGGTGTCTTTCGGGTGGCGTGACCGTCCAGCGGCAGGTCACGTTAGGGCCGTAGGCGTCAGGGTAATAAGGTGACCTGAGCTCACCCTCATTTTCATCCATCTCTCCACCACAGTCTGCCGGAAGATGGGTCAAATAAGGTCACTAGTACGCACTAATTGGGGTAAACATTTGGGTCAGAATGGGTCCAACTAGATCACAGTCATGTTAGGTGGCGGATAGAACACACACACTGGAATAAAGTCAGGAAATTGGTTCAAGTGAGAAAAAACAAAAAAACAACAACACAAAAACAGCAAAAACGACACAAACGACACAAACAACAACAAAAGCAACTACAACAACAAGATCTTAACCATCTGAGCCAGGGAGGTAAGAGCCGAGTTATTTTAGACATTGTTTGGAACTGATATCGAAAGTCAGATTTAGACTCGAACTCTGAAACTGGACCAATTGGTGTATGCAAATGTGTTGCAATTGCTTTACATTAGGTGGAATCTGGTCAAGTTGTGGAAACCGGACTGTAATCTGGGTCAGTCTGAGTGACCGAGAGAGAGAGAGAGACAGAGAGAGAGAGAGAGAGGAAAGACTTTGTTTAATTTGGGTTAATGTATATGACGATGATTTAACCCTTTGACGACGTTGATTTAACCCTTTGACGACGTTGATTTAACCCTTTGACGACGATGATTTAACCCTTTGACGACGATGATTTAACCCTTTGACGACGTTGATTTACCCCTTTGACGACGTTGATTTAACCCTTTGACGACGTTGATTTAACCCTTTGACGACGATGATTTAACCCTTTGACGACGATGATTTAACCCTTTGACGACGTTGATTTACCCCAATTCTTTCCGTCTCTCTCTCTATCTTTCATTTCCTTTATCCCTTTCCCTCGTTCTCTCTTTCTTTTTCTTGATTTCAACATTTACTTCTTTTCTATCCATTTATCTATTCTACCTTATTATGCTAATCGATAATAAAGTGAAGTCAAATATTCCTTTTATTCTAATTCTCGCTTTCTATATGTTTCATTCTGTACCATTTCTCGTTATAGGGATTTTCATTATCAGTTTTTTTTGTCTCCTCTACGCCTCTTTCCTTATTTCTTCTCTTTGTTTCCATCTTCATCTCTTTCCTCCTTCTCCTCTTCCTCTTCCCCCTTCTCCTTTCCTTACTCCTCCATAGCCTCTTCTTCCTCCTCCTCCTCCTCCTCCTACAGGTTTCCAGGAACAATACCTCGCCTCTCACACATCACTGGCTGCCACATCCTGAGGTACTGTGTTTACACTTATTTTCACGCGCCTTCCCGCCTCCTCTAATAACGTTCCAACAATATTTATAGTTGTCCCTTACTTCCCCGAAGGCTCGAAACCAACCAGACTCCGGAGAAGATCGACTAGCAACGCCTAAGATGAACACACACACACACATCTCCCTCCTCTCTGTCTTTGATTATGTCCCCTGTGTTAGAAATCCTAGAAAGTTAGTGATGTAAGAGACTTTCAGCTTGATGGATGGCGCCAGGTGGTTGTCATCCCCTGATTGGTTGTTGAATTGGACACAGACACACTTCCAGACGTATGACGATTCCCTAGATAAATTTTTTTTTGTATCATCATCATCATCATCATCATCATTCCCGACTCCACTTCCTCAAAACTACATTACTTCCTGGATCATGTTAACCATCGATTACTCCCACGTTATGCATCATTCACCTCAAACTTTTGCAACCTGACTTGTTAATTCGGTCATGTTTTTGTTATTTTCTAAACGTGAGATGACCTAGTTCCCTTCTGCTAGGTGAATGTGTCTCCAAGGTTCACAGGTCAGAGAAGTGGATCACGACGACTTGGATAAGGTTAATCTAGGTAAGGTTTATCTTTTCATAGTCTTAACACACACACACACACACACACACACACACACACACAAAGCACCAATGACACACCCATCCTCACCTGGACACCAAACTTCTGGTAAAAATGCGCAGTTTTCCCCCAACCCGCAACATTCCTCGGATACATAGGAGGTATTCTTAACCCGGTAAGGTAAACACGGGGCTAATCTTACCTGTGAGTGTGTACGGACGTGTTACCTGCCACCTAATTTTACCCTTTACCATCTGATTTGAGGATAAGCAAGTGGGCTTTACAACCTCCTTGATGGTCTACCAGGTGGGCCATCCCAGGTCGTAAACACTACCTGCTGTTATTTCCCCCTTTAGTTTTCTCCTATTCTTCCGTTTTACCATTTATGTAGGTTTTAATGGCACGTTTCTGTTTTTTTGTTCCCTGTACGAGGTCTCAATGTTAACTAAGGCTTAATGGCTCTCCCCTCTCGTCTGATTTACTCGATACACAGGAGCTCAGTGAGAACGTATACATATTATGCTTAACCTAATGTGGCTTAATGGCTCGTATACATAATCTCTCGTATGTTATGGTTTGATGGCGTGTATTTATTCTCTCCTCCATAATGGGTTTTTATGGCGAATATCCATATCACTTTATATATAATGTATCGTAATGGTGAGTGTCTATATCCGGTTTATTTATCCTAATGTTGATTTATTGTGTGTAGTAATTTTGTTGCTTTGTTTATGACTCTGTGTGTTATGTATTGGGAGGGGAAGGAGAGACGGGGAAGACGGGAGGGAAGGAGGGGAAGGAGGCGGAGGGGGCCGTGGAAGGTCGAATGTGGGAAGAAGAGGAAAGGAAACAGAGGAAGTGGAAAGGGAAGGGCAGAAGGAGGGAAGAGGAATTGGAAAATTATACGAGTTATGGAAGGTTGGAAGGTAATGAGGGGAAGAAGGAAGGAAGAAAGGGAGAAGAAGAATAAGGAGAGAGTGGTAGAGGGGAGGCGAGGAGGGAGAGGAAGAAAGAGATGATAATAATCAGATTATATTTGTATCCTGTCCAAGATCTCAGTAAAGGTAACCTCGTGCTTGTTTGAGGATACCGACGATCACATCCACGGTACGTCGGCTTGGGGTAAGATCATAGGTGTAAGCGACCAACAGTTTGTCAACAATGAGAAATCCCCTTGAGTCATGACCACCGAATGTTGATGTCTGTTACGTGAGAATTTTTCAAGTTTTTTTTTATCGTAACAGTGAAGGATAAAAAGAGTATTGATTTCACCGAGAGAATTAAAGTATAATGAGAATATGATGAAGGAAGAGATGAAATAAGAGATAAAGAGATAAAAAAAAAGAGAGAACGCAAGGAATCTAACATCCATGTATTGTATTATAATCTCCCAGACAAGGTATGACGTCACACTGACTCTATATAGGTCAGAATGTCACCTAAATCTGTTTTCTATGTCGCTTCTCTGGTGATACTTTTAAGTTTAAAGGCTTAAAGAAGTAACACATGCACAGAGAGAATCATCCAACAATCCTACCACGTCGAGTTAAATCACACAGGACTATACGGACTCAATGTTTCAATTATCATCATTGAAAACACTTAAAAAAAAAGATTCTTCGTTCGGGTTTTGTAAACGAAGCCCATTGACGGGGAGAGGGGGTAGTGTGTGTGGTGGTGGTGGGGTGTGGGGAAGTGTTGTATGTGGGGTTAGAGTGTGCTTGTAAGTGTGGGTTTTGCATGTATGATGTACGTGGGGGTGTATGTAGATCTGTGTGTGTGGTGGTGGGTGTGGGGGGAGGGTGTGTATGATGTGTGGGTGGGGGCAGAGTATATATATATGTGTGGGTGGGACAATAATAATAGGTTTAGTGACAAGAACAACAACCATGATCTAGAAATATACACGTGACGAATGGTGTGTGTATATATAGCATCTAATGGTATGGAAGTGAGGGTCATTTATCAAGGAATTTCAGCAGAGTTTTAGTACAGAAATAAGATTGAGAAAGGGGGCGAACACACACATGAACTATTTACGAGCTATTGAAGGTTTTTATAATGGTTGGAATGAGGCTGTTCTTATAGAGACAGAGAGTGTGTGTGTGTGTGTGTGTGTGTTTTATGTATCATGCATGGATTAGGTGATCTGTATACTGAGAGTTTATCGAGTATGAACCGTATGTATACCGTGTATGTATATGCGATCTGTTTGTGTACCTGCTGTGTATGTGTGCACCATGTATGTACCTGGTGTTTATATGTGTACCATGTGTGTACCTGTTATGTATATGTGTATCGTCTGTGTATCGTCTACGTATCTAGTGTGTACCATGTATGCACCTGTTGTGTAATGTGTATGCACCTGATGTGTATATGTGTACCGTGTGTGTGTGGGAAGTAATGTGATTGCGTTGGTGGTTCCCAGAGGCGCCGTGACCAACCATAAGTGCTGAGGCGTGAGGCGGCTAATGTGAGAAGGGAAGAGGGGAAAGGAGGGAAGGAGAGGGGGGGAGTGGTGAGAGATAGGGAGGCCAGATGTGGGGAAAGGAGGAGGAAAGTGGAAGGAAGGAATAAGGAGAGAGAGAGGAAGAGGAAAAATAATAAGATGGGAGGGTTGGGAGGTAAGGAGGTGGAGGGAGGGAGGAAGAAGGGATAAGAGAGAAAAAGTGGTAGGGGGAGGAGGGTGGAGTGGTGGGAAGGTGTGGAGAGACATAAGGAGATAAGGGGGGAGGAGGAAGGAGGGGAAGTGAAGGAGGGGTGAAGCAAGAAAAAAGGAAAAAGGAGGAGAGGAGGAGGAGGGAGGTAGAAAGAGAAGAGAGAAAATGGAGGAGAAAGAAAAGGAAAAAGATCGGGGAGGGAGAAGGGGAGGGGAGATGCAAGGAACAGAAAGAAAGAAGAAACTGATAAAAGGAAACAAGACGTGATAGGAAGGAATGACAACCAAGAGATGAGGAGGAAAGAAGATAAATGAAGAATATGAATAAAGGAGATAAGAACATAGAAATAAAGAAGAGACAGAAAACTAATAAAGATAACAAAGAATAAAAAAATTTATATAGTCTTGGGAGGAATATAGCACTTAAAACAATATAATCGAAGGACTATAATTATTATATGATGTCATAATTGAAGCCTTCTTTTCCTGGACTAACGTTGCTTGACTGCTTCCTTCCTTCCTGGTCTTCAAAGAGGAAACAGCAACAGGATGAGACTTTTATAATGTCACTCGCTAT